ATAATTATAATTTGTTAAAAATAATCGATTATTATAAATTCATAATATTCTAGTATTCTACGATAAAAATATGACACAATTTAATATCGTATTCGGTTCGTATTACAATTTAAAATGTTAATTCGAATTAAATTGATTTTCAATACAAAAATAAATAATAATGTGTACAGTCGATAGTAATCGTTCTGGACGATACGCCATTCAGTGTTGTGTTTAATTTAGATATTATTATCTTTTATCTTGTCTACGATATAATGAGAAATAATGTATCTGACGAGTTATTTGAGACGAATAATTAAAACATCTACATAAATGTTTTTAAAACGTATTTTTAATAATGTAAATTATCTATTATTTATATTAATACACGGTTTAATACATAGTTTAATTGTTGAATTAAATCACACAACCTTTTTGAAATCTAAATATATATACACAATACGGTACAGCTTTACAGTTTCAATACCTACATATACTTTTAAGAATTCGTTTCATAATAGATAATGAACGGAATTACTTATGTTTTTCATCTACATACGAATTCGGCGATTATCTAGAAAAATAAACAAATTATATTTGTACATAACATTGAATGTTAAAATTCGGCAAATTGAAAATATTAAAGATAACGTGTGGATTGCAGCCGTTACAAGATAATTTTACACGATGAGCGATTTGAAACGATCACGGTATTAAAATAATCGTATTCCACGATTATGGAAACTGCATACGATAATTGTAACCGGACAATATAGGAAAATAATGAAAAGTGAATAAGTAAAAAAAATATACAGGCAGAGTGGTTTTAAAATCGAGTTGAATTGAATTATCGAGCATGAAATTGCAATACGTATGTTATTTAATAGACACGTGGTATTGAAACTCTTATTTGAAACGCAAAACAAAAAAAAAATACACCACAGAGTACAGTAGTCAATAATTATATTATTACAGTACACCATTGTAGAAAAAAAAAGTTATTCGCTCGGTGTTATAATTATGTGGCGCATTGCATATAAAATGTGGTACCTAATAATGAAATCGGTCGTAGATAAATGAACAATATACTATACAGGTAAAATAGGCAGTATAATTCTTTGTGTGTACAATGGTATTCTTGTAAAATTACAATTTATGAAACACGGCTACCTGTATAATATCGCGAATGCGGTCGTAAATTAATTACAATCTTAAAATTGAACACAACACCGGTACTGTGTTGGCTTTTCGTTTTACCCAACGGACGTCCGCAAACTGATTTGCACTTACAATATATTGTAATTATATTGTACAGCGACCGTGCACCAGTATCTGTATTATTTATTTTTGAATTTTCACATTGCCTGTTGTATGGTGGGCATACTCGTACGCGTAATTCGTTCAAACGTCAAAACAAAAATGATTTTTACGAATACGAATAAAATATAACACTGTACGCGTTACACATTATTGATGCGTCCAGTGGCGTATAATGATACGTTTTTTAATATCTAGATTGAGACAGGGGATGGTTGCCGGGATAATTATCTGTATGGAACATACAAGACGTATAACGGTTTGATTATCTACATACAGATAAAAATTAGCAAACGTTTTATTTAGAAAAAAAAAAATTAAATTAAATGTATTATATTATAATAAGAATAATAAGGTAATAATATTAATAATAATAAGAGTGTACCAGATCTGGTACACATCTCGATAGCAAAAAGTTTATGTAATAATTTATTTATTTAACTGTAAATGAATACAAATTAAATATCTTATCTATAACTTCTAATGACTACGTAAATTATAATTTAAAATGATTTATTTAAATGATTCAAGATAATTTATCTAAAAACCACAAATACAGCGTACAAAATATAGTAGTGGGAAATTTCAGACGAGATTGTTTTTTTTTTTTACAAATTTTAAAATTTACGTGGTTTTTCTTGTATATAATATCGGGTAATACCTATGTATTAGTGATCATATTGTCAATACACTGGTCTATTAATGCAGGTGCCAAGATAAATAATGCTATCTCCAGAATGAAGTTTGGTTCCAAATAAACATATTATTTTAATATGATGTGACTGAGTAGGGAAAATGTAATTGACAAAAATTAAAATCGTACGTTTAACACTATCGCTTAAAACAATATTAATGGAGGTTTTTTTTTTTTAAATTTAACCTTTAATAATGGCTAGATGTTTTTTATTATTTTGTACCAACCCTGCTTGGAATTTAGGATATGATTTTCTTTATATACTAGGAAGTAGGAATCTTACCTATTTTAAAATGTTTCGTACTGCCTTACACACACACACACACACACACACACACACACACACAAAAAAAGAAACTGAAGAGAGAACTAATGAATATTCACTATGCAGTCATTATTTCTTTAGCCCCAGGTAAGAAGTCAAGAAAAATGGCGCCTGCAGAAATGTATTAAGGAAAGAGCGGACAAATGGCAAATACTCTCTTATAGCCTTTATTTATTTATTCATTTTAATTCATTATTTACTACATTATGGTAAAATAACCCGAAAGAGGGCAAATGCCTCCCGATGTGGACACCCATGAAAGAAGAACTTAAGTCAATTGAGTATAGTAACTAATACACGTATTTGATTTAAAGCAAAAAATAAGGGGGTAAATGTACCTACATAATCAAAATTATATAAACAAATTTTAAATTTGACTTCTTCCATGGGACAGAAGATATAAAAAAGTTTAAACACACAAATATTCTTGTTTTATAAATGATAAAACATGTTAGGTGTCTTAATTCAAAAATTAATTATTTTTTAAAGTAAAAAAACGCAGGATTTTAATTTGTATGTATTACAAAATCAGCCAGTATTAAAATAATAGTTATGTTTGGAACCAACCACCATTCCTGGTAATAATGCGATTTTTATCCGCTAATATAGCATATTATGAACTATTTAGTTTGCGTATTATAACAAAAATAATAATATTATATACTTATATAAAAAATATTTAATAACATTATTTTTGGTTGTATATAATGTGTAGCAACAATGTTTGGATTTTTCATTTGACTACTTAGCTCCATGATGTATCACATCTGAAAATATTGATAACATTGTCTCCTACAGTATACAGGGTGATTTTTTTTATCAGCAATTATCTCATAGGATTTTAGGTGAATTTTATTTTTGTTTTTTGTTTAATCATTGTGAAACCGTTTTAGTTTTATTTTAAAACCATTTTTTATTTTTTACCCTTACTCCATAAATATAGGGAAGGGAGATTTTTTTATCATTTAAAAATAAATATAAAATGTATTATGCTTTCTTACTATACCGGTCTAAAGTTTAAACGGTTATAACTTAGAACTTATAAACAGTAAATCTGATATTAGTGTTATGCATATCGAAATTTCTAAAAAAATATTCTCTATTCAAACCTATGTCCAAAAAAGAGGGGTTTCTATTAGACAAAGAAAAACATATTCTTATTTAAGGTATATGGATTAGGGGTTAAATATGGTTTTAAAATAAATATTAAATCATTCCATAACGATTAAAAAAAAAAAAAAAAACAGGAATCAAATTCACTTAAAATCCTCCGAGAATTGCTGGTTCGTGATAAAAAAAAAAATCACTACGTAGAGTATAAAATTAGGTTTAACGCTTCTCTCACCTACAAAAATGTAGTTATTTTTGTAAAACACTTCTAATACGTATTATATTATTATATAAATCGAAAATGATGAACAAAAATGAGATGTTGATGAATTAAACCGAATCGACCAACGTTTTTATTCGCAGGTATTTGGCCAAAAAATCGAGTTGTTTGAATTTTTTTGATTTTTACAAAAACGCACACCTAACTGAATGTTAGACAAGTTTCATTTTTTTCCTACATCATCGAAATATATAATATAGGTATAGAGTAAAACGTTTAAGTCATTTGATAAAACGGTCGTGAGTCTTGATGTTGAGACACGCACATGTGCATTGCACAGCCGTTGACCAGCCAATAGACATGTGAAGTCTTACCCTGAAAAAAAAAAAATGTGATTTTAATTATGCAGATGTATTTTTTTTTTTTTTTAATACAATAAAGAACGGGGATTTTACCCGTGGTATCGTACGTATAATATCGCAATAACCGAGGTGGATTAATATCTTCGATGTTTTTTTAAGTATTCTTTGTGTACTGGTGGCAATAGTTCGTTGTGGTACTTATAATGTATACATAATGTACGTTTGTCATCTAACAATATTTCTACGGACGGTTTTTGACTTGCCGCTGAAGTGGGTATTGTTTTTTTTTTTTTTAAGAAGAAAAAGAACCTGCAATAATTTCAGTTGCATAAAATTATTTTTATGGGCTTACTTGACTATCAACCGTGTGTATTATTGTGACGGTACGAATATTATATCATACGTAGCAGCGTTGCCCAACCGCGTCGCGTACCTATGTTTCGAATGTTTGCAGGTCCCGTAAGACGGATAAAATATGGTAATAGCAAACACACTGTTGCGACACACCGTTATATTGTTATATTCTCCGGTTAAATTAACAAAATCAAGAGCGGTCGATTTAAAATGCGCGTTTTAAAAAATATCAAGCCTATATTTTATTGTCAATATAATTTTTATAGACTTTGAAGTTTACGGCACAATTGTGTAGTTTAATATATCAGAACGAAAGGGAAGGGGGTAGTAAATCATTAAAAACAACAGGGCTTACACGTAAACCAATTTTTTTTTTTTAAAAATGAACACAAAAAAAATTTACTAACGAATGAAAAAAAAAATAACTTTTCGATCTTGAGTATTGGAAATAAAATAAAAACGTTACCGGTAAATATAAATAAATAAAAAATGTATAAAATAAAATAAAATAAATAAATAAACAAATGCGTCGCCTGGAGTAATATGATAAGTGTATTATACCACCGGTTTCGAATTAAATATTCATCATCAGGTACATCACAGTCATAATGTAAAACGCGACTGAATATAAAAAAATTTAATGAAGATATGGAAAAAAAAAATTATACAAATTGGTCGTTTTATATAGAATATAGAAATGATTTTTTTTAATAGGAGAGATTATTTAAAATTATTAAAAAAAATTATTTCTATATTCCATATAAAACGACCAATTTGTATTATTTGTTTTTTCCATATCTTCATTAAATTTTTTTATATTCAGTCGCGTTTTACATTATGACTGTGATGTACTTGATGATGAATATTTAATTCGAAACCGATGGTATAATACACTTATCATAGTACTCCAGGCGACGCATTTGTTTGTTTATTTATTTTATTTTTATATATACAACTTTTAGTTATATATTTATTTACTTTAATTTGTATATTATAATTCAAAAATGTTAAATAGAAAAAAGGATTTTAAACGTAATTCTATATATCCCGTTTGAATTCTCAAAAGAAAAATCTGATCAATAAAACAAGTAAGACCTATGAAATACGAATGAAATGTCAGTAATTTCGGTAAAAAATCCTACAAAATGCAAAACACTATTTGTTTTAAACGCGATTTAATATATGTATTTTATATTTTTTGCAGCGAAAAACGATTTTCTATTTCTAATTTCGCGACATAATCTAGGCTAAAATCTAAAAAAAAAAAAAAAAAAAAATACTTACACAGTGTCGGAAAACTACAATAAATAGAATGACAAAAACGCGACGCCTGAAGTTCGAAATCTTGACTTGACGCCGAGAAAGTGTTTTAAATTGTTTTATCGTCGATGGTTATGGTGCTGTAAAATAAAAAACATTACATCAAATACGAATCTATCTAAAAAAAAAAACGATAATATACTTCGCCTCAGTAGGATGTAGAATGGTAATATGCAAGGTAGGATGTATAGGGTGATTTAATTTACATCTGTATTCGAAGATAAATCATTGCAAACCAAAAATAATTCTGAGCTATTAAACACGCATTATTCAGAAACAGACGACTATGTGATTTGATTACATTAGGGTTCAATCATTATTTGTTTAAACAACGCGCGGTATTTCGATTTTGACTAACCGACTTTTAGATTGTCGCAAGACAATCGAAATATTGTTTTTATTGAACTATGTGAAACCATTGTATACAATAATACTCACATATCGTATAATATTTCGACTGGTTATTATTCGGTTGGCCGGCCATCATCTTCACGTGTGAAAATAATACACGGGAAACGGACGTGTTTGTTGAAGTTCCGGCAGTAATACGAGTCGTCGCGCGTCGTCACGTCACCGTAATCGAAGGACAAACGCCAAATAGATTTCATTTGTCCGTATGCCGCGTGTAATTACGCGCAAACGAAAGTCGTTTTAACATATTCTCCAGAAAGCCGTATGGCATTACCTTATTATAAAAACGATGGTAGCGACGGAAGATTAAAAATACAATTGGAATGTACATCGACGATGGGCCTTTATCGACTTCATGGAAGCGTCCATGATTCGTCAAACGAGTTATCTAAAAATAAAAGTGAAAATTTAAAAACTAAAAAAAAATTACTACCGTACCGAAGTCACGAGTATTTGCATAGGTATGTCGTGTATATATATACAAACTCGTTGTTACACCAAAATTATAAAACAAGGCGGTTCAATGAAAATATATCATTCATATCTTTCGCAAAGAAAAAATTGCAATTAAAAACGAAATTGTACAAAACAGTATAAGTTAGTATCTGTCCAAACCTTTTGCGAAAAGACGAATAACATAATACTAAAGAGTATTACAGTATTATAGAAAATATACGATTTTATATTTCATCAGTTGAATTAAGTTTCTAATAATTTACAAATCAATAGGTAATTCGATATAAAATCGATTCCCCCGGAAATTACCGTATAATCAACATGACATTTTAATATATTGATAAATTAAAAACTATTTTATTTTATTTTATTTCCTCTTCGGAATTATTACCGAGAGTTCTCCCGGTACTCTATTAATATTATTTTTATTTTCATTATTACTATTATTATTTTCAGACAAATGCATACATTTTACTACCAAAATGTATACTGTGTACGTGTTATATTTTCTTCGTATTTTAGAATGTGGTTATATGAATGATTCACAAATTTTAGTTCAATATTTTTACCTATTTTATAATAATATACCATATACAATTTTATATTTGGAAAATAATATGTTTTTCAATTTGTTGTTTTTATACAATTTCCGTTTTGGTCAAGGAAAAAAAGAGGAAAAAATAAAAAAATTGTACTTAACAGAATCGTTAATATTACTCGCTTGCATCGAACTGGCGTCGATTAAATACCCAATACCATATATAGTTTTTCTATTAATCAATTTTAAATGGAATTGTGGGACGCCGTCAGTTCAGTCTGAAATTTCCGAAGAAATACCAATAGTTGACTATATAAAAAAAAAAAAAACGTGACTGCAGACATACTATAGGTATATCAATTGTTATAATTTATAACACATATGCCAAATGCGATGTAGATGACGGTGCGTTATTAAATATTCGATATACATTCTAGAGTATTGTTTGGCTTGTTGAATGTGGTTTTAAATAACAAATAACAATGTGTAACTTCTTCTATAATAAATTGTGTTTATTTTGAGTCATTAATAAAAACAGAAATGTCAGTCTTGAAAAAGGGAAACATTAAACAAAAGTTTCCATATTAGATACAAATTAATAGCAATAACCTATATGTAACAATAAAAAAAAATTAATCATACAATTTGTGTTGTAAAACAACTCATACACTTTTACATCACTATGGCTCATTTTTTCTTGTATGGGTAACTTTCCCCTGGTGGTCCATAGCTATCTTGTCCTGGAGCCGAATAGGTGTCTCCACCACCACTCGAGTGACCTCCAAAACCACCAGAACCAGATCCATGGCCATTACCCGAGTATCCACCAAAACTTGCGAAACTTCCTGAACTAGAGCCCTTTCCGCCTCCTGAACTTCCTCCGTATCCTCCAGAAGAGCTACCTCCGTATCCTCCAGAAGAGCTACCTCCGTATCCTCCAGAAGAGCTACCTCCATATCCTCCAGATGAACTTCCTCCGTGACCACCAAAAGAATTGCCGCCATATCCTGCCGATGCAATTTCTTCAAATCCACTAGATGAACTTCCACCATATCCTCCAGATGAGCTTCCTCCATGTCCTCCTAAGGCACTTCCACCGTATCCACCAGATGAGCTTCCTCCATGTCCTCCTGAGGCACTTCCACCGTATCCACCAGATGAGCTGCCTTTGTGTCCTCCGAAACCGCTTCCACCGTATCCGCCAGATGAACTTCCTCCATGTCCTCCTAAAGCGCTTCCACCATATCCACCAGATGAACTTCCACCATGTCCCCCGAATGGACTACCTCCATATCCTCCAGATGAACTGGCTCCATATCCACCGGATGAGCTTCCTCCGTGTCCGCCGAATGAGCCACCTCCGTATCCTCCAGATGAGCTGCCACCGTATCCACCAGATGAGCTTCCTCCATGTCCCCCTAAGGCGCTTCCACCGTATCCACCAGATGAACTTCCACCATGTCCCCCTAAGGCACTTCCTCCGTATCCACCAGATGAGCTTCCTCCATGTCCTCCCAACGCGCTTCCACCGTATCCACCAGATGAGCTTCCTCCATGTCCCCCTAAGGCGCTTCCACCGTATCCACCAGATGAGCTTCCTCCTTGTCCCCCTAAGGCGCTTCCACCGTATCCACCAGATGAACTTCCTCCGTGTCCTCCTAAGGCGCTTCCTCCGTATCCACCAGATGAGCTTCCTCCATGTCCTCCTAAGGCGCTTCCTCCGTATCCACCAGATGAGCTACCACCGAATCCACCAGACGATCCTTTGTGGTGGCCAGCTGAATATCCGCTAAACAAAATGCCACTCGATGAAGAATCACCGTAACCTCCAGCAGAACCACCATGTGCTCCGGATGAAGGACCATAACTTCCAGCTGGACCACTATGTCCGCCAGAGGAACCAGCGTAACCTCCGAATGAACCACCATGACCTCCAGTGAAAACATCGTAACCTCCTGTAGAGCTACTACTGTAACCACCCGAAGCTCCACCATGGCCTCCTGACGATGATCCACCGTATCCTCCTGCAGAAGATCCACCGTTGCCCTTTAAGGAACCACCGTATCCACCCGAAGATCCACCGTATCCACCCGAAGATCCACCGTTGCCCTTTAAGGAACCACCGTATCCGCCCGAAGATGCACCGCCGTATCCTCCTGATGAAGAACCAAGCTCGTTGGAAATATATTCATCAGACGAAGACGGTCCACTGTAACTGCTGCTGTAACTGCTTGATGGACCAGCGTCTTCGTAGCTGCTACCACCGTGTCCACTTGATCCGGAATCGTAAATACCGGAACTTCCGTGGCCTGAAATTAATGTAATAGTATTTATAATATGTCCACAACATAATCATCGTTTAGTTTAAAACTGTTGAGTTTTTAATTTAAATTCATAGATGATGGATGATGATGATAATAATATAATATAATATTGATTCGGATCTTACCACCGCCGCTGTATGAATCGATCTCGCCGCCACCGTAACTGCTGCTAGATGACCCTCCATAACCGCCGGATAACGCTCCTCCGTATCCGCCAGACGAACTACTGATATGTTGAACATCGTGGTGTTCGTAATGGACCGGTTTTTTCACGTATACTTCTTTCACGATCGTTGGTACATGCACGCGAATATGTACACTGCAAATTTGTTTTAACAGTCACGATTTAAAATATGATAAAATTAAATGAACATATACGGAAATATAGTATTCGGTTTTTTTTTTTTTTTTAATCTTAAATCAGTGTGAATTGGATGATTTTTACGTGAGTGGTATAGGAAACAATCGATTTTCTCCCCCCCCCCTCCCCCGATAAGATCAATGACATCAGAAGTACGCCTTATGTGAAAAAAGGTCGTGCCATCAAGACATGAGCGTGTTATGTCATACGGAATTTTATTATGTAGTAGATAGATGGAAAAAATTAGGATTAAGTTAATACAGGTTATAATCGTAACAATGATAATAATATTATGTTGATTACTCACTGCTCCTTGCTGCCGAAAGTCGCATGCGCGGTGTGCAGTGAAGTGGCGACGATCGCCGTCAGGAAAAACTGAAAAACACGTGGAAATACAAATATTTCGTTAAATATGATTATATTAATAAGACCAAATATATGGTGATCTCTAGACAAGATAATCACGGAGAATATCTAAAAGTGGGAAATTATGAACTCGACAGGGAACGTAAGTTGAAGTACATTGAGATAAATGGCACAATAATAACGACCGTGGAAAAAATTAGAACAGCTGTGACGAATACGTGTTACTACGGGCTATCGAATTATCTTCAGATCAAAACAAGTATCGCTTGAATCAAATACGACACCATTAGCCCAGTTTACTGGCATGCATGCAAGGGGCATGCAAAAGGGAAGAAGAAAAAACTAACGATCCTGTGAAGGAAAATATTAAGGAGAATTATATATATGGACCGAAAAATGATGATATCATTCATCAATATGAAATAAGAAGTAATGTGGAATTACGGTAGTTATACAAAGAACCGGGGAAATTCTACAATAGGAGAACTTATAGATGCTGAATAATAGCAATGGCCGATTACGTTTAAGTCCCGATAGCATAATTAATCGGGATAAACATAGTGGAAACCCAATAGAAAAAGATTACTGGATGGGCCGAATAAATGCGGATGGACGGATTCGGGAAGAATCCCGTAGAATAAGTTTGAATACTTAGGTATAGGACGGAAAAGCATTATCTCAGGATAGGGATGGACAAAGGCAAGTGTGCGTCTCAGTGGTTTTTAAAAAACGGAAGGAAAAAAATATGCGTGTACGATAATATTACGATTAGGTTGTTGTGTTATTCGCAACGTCAGCCGTGCAAAATCGCACGAAACACGCGAGAAGAAGAAGCGGGCGTGGGAACGTTGACGTTTGACGACGACCTATAAGTAAGTCGTATAATGCACAGAGACTATACACCGGTGTAAATACGTATTCATTATTATTTTGTTTTTTATCGTATCGCCAACTTTACACCTGTGTGTTTTTCGTTAAAATTATCATTACTCCCGCGGGGGTCATCGTGCGGCGGCGCGGTCTCGCGGCCGTCGTACTCGGTGAAAGGTTTCCAGTATTCTGGCATCGTATATTATTAGTATTATTATTAGCACGGGCGAAAGCGAGCGCAATATTGCAGTGCGTATTATATGTTACGTTGTTGTTCTATCGATATATCTATTAAAAAAAAAAAAAAATTAATTTTTTTTTTAAAAAAAGGAGAAAGAATCTTCGGGCCCGGCCCGAAGTGCCGGTAAAGTCCCCGGAGCTACGCGGGATAGTATCCGTGTACCGCTCGCGTCACTTTCACCTGGCGGGGGCGGACGGGGTCCTCCGCACACGTGTCCGGAAGTGACTCGTATTTAAGAAGACGAGTTACCGGTTCCGCCCCCTCGCTCGATCCGCTCTGCACGCGTTTGTGTATTCCACCCGTGACGCAAGTCGCCGTCGGTATACCCAACTAAAATAATACGAACTCCGATAATAATTATATTATGCAGTTTACGATATTATATTATTGCGACGAGAGGAAAAACGACTTTTCACTTTCGGTTTTTTTCCACGAGGAAAAAAAATCTATTTTCGTAGTGACACTCTGACCGGGATATTTCGAAAAGCAGTGTCAGCGTATTCCATTCGTAGCAGACATTTCACGCGACCAATATGGGTGGGTGGGTGGTCCGAGGTGTTAAGGACGTCAGGTGCAGGGACGTCTAGCCTTAGCTACGAGTTCTTGGTTCTTCTGGGTTTTGGGTTGTACGAGGTATTTTGTTTGGCAATTTTACTATAACTACTTAATAAAGTACCATAAACCACCATAAAGTTATGGAATAAACCTCCGTGCCGCCGTCACTGTCGCAACAGATTCATCGTTGAAATGTGGGACGAAATTTCGATTGACATAATACATTATACGGCTCGTTCGATGATCGATCTTGAATACTTTGGATATTTTAATATTTTTTTTTAATCAGTTTTTTTATAGTATCCAAGAGGATTCTACCGAGTAATGGCAAAAACGCATCGAATTTATTCACTATAGCCGTCGTAATATCTTATGGACTTTTCGCAAAATATTTTCCGGGAAACGTAATAATAAAAAAAAGCTACTTTTACTCTCGATCTCCTCGATAGTGCACTGCATTACGGCGTTTCGCTCTATAAATCGTTTTTAGAACGGCGACGATTATTATTTCGATTAATAAATCGTTTTCGGCCGGTCGAAAAATATGTCCACGCCATATTACACCCAGCTATAATAATAGCCGAATCTATCGAAAACTACGCAATCCACCCGAAACTAAATAATCTTTATCGGGACGATCGAACCGCGACGAGTTATTGACATTGGAATCACTTATCCCGCGCAGGCCGAATTCTGCCGAAACGAGACGAATGCAATAAGTATTTACTTCCACCTCTCCTTCCACTCCATCGGATACCGACCGAATGTCGCGAAAAAGATATTAGGTTTTTTCATACACACTGTATATTACACAGGTGTGCCTCGAATATTTTAGGGGAGCTTTCAAGCTTATACGAGCACCCAAATATACTACGAGTTTTTAGAGACCAATTCCTTGTTCTATTTGCATCAATAATAACATATATATATATTATGTTTATTTCTAAATAAGAAAAATTAAATTCTGATAATACATAGATACTTTAGAATGGTAAATTATAGGCTTTCTCGGCGGTTAATCGAGATATTCGAACGAAACGTTGGAATAACAAATCGTTTTTAAATAAAAATGCATCAAATTCATAAAAAAAAAAAAGCTTTTCAGCTGTTCGAATTGTTAGTAGATACTAAATTTTTTACTTTTTTCTTATTTCTATTTCCGTGCACAATAATCCTCGTTTACCGAAATAATTGTTATCATCAATACTTTTCGTCTTTTCTTTCTCGATCGAATAGACCCCCCGGGCCCCATATAATAATGTAACACAATTTTGATTTTTAAAAAACATACAGAACATAATATTATTATTATCGTCGTTAACATTTTCGCGTACAGTTAGCAGTCGATAAAAATATTTATTATACATTATTATTGTTAGCCCTCTGCGGCGGATATAATTGTACAGTATCCCGTCTTTATAGAAATTAATATAATTAACAATTAATAATACTGTATTAAAGCACCGAATGTTATTTCCTCGTAACAAACGGAAAATATTTTATTGCTTTCACCCGGGCCCCCGATTCATCGGTAATTCGGATTTTCGAAAACGATCTGTAATCGAGTGGCGCATCTTGTCTACAATAATTTTTGTTGTTCTCGTATTATTTCATTGTACGTGTAAATTAATAATTCACTCTACGAATCGAAGGAAAATCCAACCGATTTAAAGTAATTACTCGTAGAAATATAAAAAAAATCAACTGATGCGCCGTTATAAGATTATGCTACCGCGTAGGTAGGTATATACGAACAAAATAATAGGTTTAAAAAAAAAAAAAAAACCGTTTTGAAATATCGTTAAGAAATAGCATTGTAGCAAATAGCCGGGGCGGCCGATTATCTAATAAAAAAAAAAAAAAACGAAAAAATTATATTTGGCGGAAATATGTAATATAATAATCCGATGTAGGTCAACTATCGGATCATTTCAGTTAACAATAATGATATTATTGCCGTAATGTATTATCGAAAAATAATAATATTGTTTCTATATTGGTTATTCCTTGTTACCGAAGGTAACAATAAATCGTTGACGCGTTTGCAGTTTAAAACGATAATGTATTTCAAATGTTTTCGTGTAAAAAAAAAAAAAATCTACGCAATCGACGTAATTTGTTCGAAAAAAATGTTTGTTTAAAAACATTCTATACAATTTATATATACGCTTATGAGTTACAAGTAAATCTCGTTCAAAAGCGCGTGATACAGTTAAGGAGCACGAACGCACAAGAGATTTTAGTCGAATATTCGCATAGTATACGATAATAATTACACGATACAATTATAATTATAATATTATGCACGTGTGTATGGGCAGATGCGTATTATTGTTGTTGTAATAAATTGAAATTGTACGACGACGATTTCATTCGATGATGCTCGAACGATGCGAATAATGGGAAATGCGTATGGTATGCACGCGACGCGCGTTAAGGATTATTAGACGATATTATTAGGATTGACTTTCTCCGTTTTTAGATTTATGTCCGGCGATGATGAGTCCGCAGGGAACAAAATGTAAAATTAAATATCCGCGAGATTATATTTGTTCAATAGTTCTCTATCATATTATTAATATTAGCGTGTTTGGAATAAATATATTCGAATTTGCAGGTGATAAGAGATAAACGTGGAAAATTATAGCGCCAAACCGTGACGTAGGTACAACAGAATACGTCAAAAAAAGAAGAAGCCGTTCAAAAAATAATACAACCGTTTACTGTTATATTAGAAAAAAAAAAACACGAAAAATTAAGCGCTTGGAATCCAGTTAGAAATAGGTATAAAAATAATTTTTTTTTTTTTTTAAAATTGAAGCGTTCGGTTAATTCAAGTTTAGTCACAAAAAGTAATAATTATAAACGCGTATACTGAAATCATAAATCATAATTTATATTATATAAAAAAAAAAAAGCGAAACGACCGTTGGCGAATTTAAAAGAGTTATGAGTGTTGAAATGTGTATAAAATGATCATCGGAAAAATATCCTTTTTTTTTTTTTTAAAGAACTGACGTTATAATATTAGGTATTTATTTAAAAAAAAAAAACAGAAAAAGTCGCATCACTTTTTTTTTATTACATAAATATTATCGACCGCAAATAATATTTATGTTCTATAACAATACAATCGCGATATAAATTATACATTATAATAATGAAAAATTTACTTGGGCAAAAAATTAAAAGATTAGAAGATCTCAGAAGATGCGAAATATTGTTGGTGTTAATTAAAGTAGTACGTTCGACTTACTGCGATCGATAAGGTCCTCATGTCGATTATTCTCGTGTTGTTCGGCCGTCGAAAAAATATCCTTTTATCCTTATTGGCGGATTATACTTAGTATGTTATACCCCGCGTTGTACAATAACGTTATTAACGCCGGCCACTGTATGTAGAAAAAAACAGAAAAGAAAAAAAAAATCGCTTCTAGATATATAGATATTATGATATCGTTATCGTAAGATACTCGATGTGTTTACCGAAATCGTCAGCGAACATGTGAATAAACCCAACTGCCGTCCGGCGTATTTATATCCGAAAGTCTCCGAGACACGCGGTGGGTATCGCCACTCTGGTGGGGCCGTTTCGCGGTAACCGCTTCTGGTAATTGTGTTTCCGCGGCGCCGTCGTACACCCTCCACATAGGTATTAATGCAAAAAGTACGCTAAAATTACGATAAAAATAAAAAAAAAAAATAATAATAATAATGCAACTAAACACAAATTCAAGTTATTCGATTTCTTTTTGCGTTAATCCGCGCCGATAATCATATTATAATAATTAACAAATAAATGTCAACTAGTCGCCGTCTAGGTATATCGCGTCGTTAATTTCTATTAAATATTCATCTAACACCGTTTAATATACTAATTATATTATTTTCACCTTCAAACGCATCTATACTCTTCACTCGCGTCATCTTCTTTACTCGAGTACGCGCCATTAATTTGTGAAAACAACAGCGTTGAAAACATTACACAGCGATCGAATTGAAAAAATGTTTTTTTTTTTAAAAAAAAGTCCTTCGCTTTTTTCTATTATAAAAGTACAAAATCGAACATTTTCAAAACCCACTCACCCTCATCCCCCCCTCCCTTCACCCACTATACTGGTTACGAAAACTATATTAAAAATTTTAAAAACAAAATCAATCGAGCCACGTAAAATCGTACCATCTACAACATTTTTCTTTTAAAATGACGAAACAATGCAATAGTTATTATATTACAACATGGCTTCGGCAAAATACATACGTGGTACAGACGCACATTTAAGTTACTCATTCACTCGATAGCATCCTCATGCACGGCTGTGTGGATTTCCTCGATGTCTTCAATAAACTTCGTTAGTGAGTAACCATTGACTGCATACGATATTAATAATTATTTTCTGTCTTATCACATCTTAAATATTCTAATATCCCGTAGTGCTAATTCAGTTGTTAAAAATTTATTTAATCAAAATTATGCATACATATATACAGTTACGACTTGTATAGAAAATTGGATAATATAAAATGTTTGTTCGATAGAACTAATATGGCGCTGTTGATTTTAATATTAGAGTGTGTTAGCTTATTATTAAACTTAAAGGTAAGACCATTATATGTATGTTGGTTTATTTTAAAAACAATGTAAAAAAACACGGATAACAGTTTTACATTTAAGTTTAATAAAAGGGAAATTCACGAAAATTTTACATTATCCAATTTTCACCTTCATCTAATACGCATATTTATTTATAATTTGTATTCAATAATACTGTGTACTGTGTTATTTGAAACTGGACTCGACCCATAAAGTAAAACTAAATTAAATTAAATATGCTCTGTAATTTTCCTTACAGACATAACAAAATAACAAAAACACGTTTTGTATATTTTTGTTTATTATTTTGTATTAAAAACTTTTAGTCATTGTAAATAATTAGTTAACAAGAAAATATGTGTCTATAATTGATAAAAGAATAGAATAAAGTCGAATGAAAACATGGGTCAAATAATTAAATTGGGTAATAAAAATCGAAAATGACAAAAAAAAAATGACTTGTCTTCTTTACACTTTTGGAAGATTTTTTTTAAAAATTCTCTTTTAGATTCTGAGTGGAGCCAAGAAGCTTATGGTTTTACACAGATGTTTGTTTTTTTTTTTTTTTATATATGCGCAACTTTTCTACCAGAAGACTTGCTTCGATTTTTACATTTTTACGTGTAGCACATTTTCTGAAAGGAAATCGGTCATTTTTCGATTTTCTCAGGAGTTTTCTCATCAAATTTGGAAAACTGAAAAAATCGATGGAAAAACGGGAAATTATAAGAAATGTAGGTATTAGTTAAAATAACTTACGGCCTTCTATTTTCCCGTGAACAGCTTTTCTATCGGCGATTTTGATCGAATTTATAATGATCGCAGTGTTTCCAAGATGAATTCTGATTGGGGTGGTACTTAGAGAGTTTATTTTTCGATTTACCCGAGTTTTCCAAGTAAATGTGAAAAACCAGGATAAAACATAGAAAAACCGAGGAAACCGTAGGAAAACTGGGAAAATCGGTACAAAATTGAAGAAATATTATTAAAAAAAATATAAAAAGCCTATTTAATTATTTTTTGCTGCTAATGGCATATATTGTATATTGTATATTATATGATGTTGACAAAGCATCGCTATCAACTTAACTCCGCTCAAAATCGTTTTTTCGTAAGGTTTATCGTTGCTTACAGGTATACATTTAATTACCTATAACAATGGCTGCACACGTCCCCATTATCCTAGGACGTCTATTTTTTTTGACAATCTCTGTTTTTATCCTATCAAATGGTTATTGGTTACACGTATATGCAATTATTTATTACACCATTTTCTTCTTTATCTTCAGTCATATCAAAAAAATTAAAATAAGATATATGGAAAGTATAGAGGTGTATCATGGCGTGTGGAATATCAATTGAAAAAAATAACAACTATTATTTTATTATTTTTTTTTAACTTAATATAAATAAAATAAATATGCCAATTTTTAATATGTAACTCTATCGTATTTTAGTGTTTTTTTTTCTTGAAATTCCTTGTTATGCTCGTGAGCTGCTATTTTATGGGTTTTGTTGGCGAGTTTTTTTTAGAATTTGATATGCTTTTTCACAAAGGTATTTTTGTGTTTTTGTTTTTCTAAAAAATTTCGATTATATATTCCATTTAAATTGACATTTTAAATTGATTATCAACGTAAAAATTAGTTTAATATAGTTTGTTGATTAACTTTTAAATTAAAATATATCCACGCGCTTCGCAGAGAACTAATTAAAATTGTTTCAGAACTAATACCGTGTTATTTCTGTAAAACTAATTTAAATTTGATAACACTCTATGGAAAGTAATAATTATGTTAAAAATATTGTCAACATTTTAAGAATCAAATATGTATTAAAATAAATTGAACTCATTTAATATAATATAATAACGTAGCATAAACAATGCAGGTACCTATTGCAGTGTTCCAGGATCTTGAAAAAAAAATGTAAAAAACACTCTTTATTTAAAGAGCATATTTTAATACAAATACGTTTTTAAATTTCGTGTTACAGATAAATTACGAAAAACTGTATGTGCAATTAGTCGACTACACCCGTAAAAAATCGTAATATTAAATCTAACTCTATAGAACCATATAGGTGCATATGGATTATATCGTTCATTAAGAACAATAAAATAAAAATAATTACATCCAATCGTATAATCGTATTCGTATCGTTTCATAACCGTAATGGATATTTGCAAACATTTCGTTATCAATTATCATACAATGATAATCCGGAACGTACGAGTTTTGATGATCGTGATTATAATCCATTGAAAATCACAATGTTTTAAAGAATAGTTTAGAAGGATTTACAATAATAATGAACGTTTTTATGATATTATAACAGTACACAGAGAACGATGAAAATCAAATTTTTCTATGTCAGATATAAACATATAGGTAATACTTTAGTAATTCTTTAACATTATTGTAAACCTTCGTGATACCTGCGTGTATTAATTATATTCTATAGGTACCGTAAAACATAAAAGCTTACTTTTTTTACGAAATCGCTGAAAATAATTTATATCTAATATATGCATACATACATACATACATATAAACTTTTATCTGGTATAATTCATAAACGGTAAATCTGATATAAGTGTTATGCATACCGAAATTTCTAGAAAAATATTCTCTATTCAAATCTGTGTTTAAAAAGAGGCAGAGAGGGTTCCTATTTGAAAGTCAAAAGTATGCACTTATTTATGGTATATGGAATAGGAGTAAAAATTAAAAATGGTTTTAAAATAAAGGTTAAACGGTTTCATAGTGATAAGACAAAAAACAAAAATCAAATTCACTTCTGAGATAAATCCTCTGAGATAATTATTGGTTCATGATGAAAAAATCACCCTGTATAAAAAGGGAACCTTATCTAAGTACATTTTAGGTAAGTATCTATACTCGTCGATAAATGTAAAAGTTATTATTATTGTTATTATTATTATTATAATGATACCTATCGGCACACAGTTTCAAGTGAAATATGAATAATTATTTGTGGATATGTATATACAAAAGGATTTTATTTATATAGTTATATACAAAGGAAAAAAAAAAACAAATACTTATGAAATTACCGGACAAAAATTATGATTGTAGACCTCGACATGTTCGCGAATTTCGTAGTTAATTTTTTTAAATTTTTTTTTTTCGAGCCGCCGTATAGCTCGAGTCATTCAAATTAGATGTCATTCAAGGATTAACCTGAATATTTATCCACTGCGTATATATAGAGGACATATATAATTACATTTTGCACTAGCATGTAGGAGTATTCAGTTTATAAAATTAATAATTATTTTAGGCACCGTATAGTTGTTACATTATTAGAGGTCAACTTATAGTGATTCAAAACATTTTTTTTTTTTTTTTTTTATAGAATTACCTTCAAAGTGTAACTAAATGTTATATTTCGTAACAATAAATATACTTTTTTTATGAATAAAAATATTTTATTTTTATATTGTGTTTGATCGTAACACCGTTATAGTAAAAATAAAAGGTATATGCATATATACTGTAGGTACATAGAATCCTTATGTTATAATATTTACAATGATATATAATTACCTAATAAAAGCAATTTCGTATTATAGATTTTGAGTGAATCGAGAAACGTATGGGTTTTACTAAATGATATGATTTTTTTCCGTTTTAGATTTTGAGCGGAACGAGGAATGTATCGGGTTTTACAATGAGGTTTGTTTTTTTTTTTTTCCAATGCTGTGTATAAAAAAAATAACAGAAATCTTGTTCGGATTTTCAAGTGTACCGTCTTTTCTGAAAGGAAATTCGACTGGGACGGTACATTAATAAGGTCATTTTTTGATTTTCCAAGTGGTTTATTCGTCTTCTTTTTGTATTTGTAAAGACCTTTTATACTGGAAACCACGATTCTCAGGAACTTTCTTGT